GCAGAGAAAGCAATGGAGGCTAAAGCTAATTTAAAGAAAGCCTGAAGATAGCCTAAGCTAAGTCATCCTGAGAGCATTTAAGGATGAAAACGGAAAGAAGACATCAAACATAAGAAAATACTATTTTTTAAGCTTGTCATTGTTCATAAGTGAAAACACGATATTATTGTGGCTGTATCCCAAGTCTAATTAACAGACACTATACTCAGGGACCAACTGTCAAACCATGGAAAGGCAAGAGTTGAGGCCCATCCCCAAAATAAGTGGATTTTTAATCCAAGGTTGGTTTCTCCCAGTCCAACTCCACCCACCATCAAGTGATTATCCCAGTTCAACAGACATTTATTAAGTATCTACTTTTAGAGAGGCACTATGGAAAATCAAAATAATTCTAATAGTCTAAGCAAGATGGAAAAAGAGACCATTTTATTGAAAGGAAAAAGTAAATGGTTCATCCTTGTATGGAGTCTTGTACAAATTATTTGGGGATTATTCATAGCATGTCTCCCTTCCTTTGGGATGGATAATTAAGAGTTAGCTATTAAATTAAAAACTTTCAATGAACTCTGTTTACTTACCTTGTAGCATTGACACAAAATAGAGAAAAAATATACTTGACAAATAATACACAGTGATTACAATAGTATACACAGACCAATAGCTGAACTTCATGTAATTTTACATAAAAAAGAAGATATTAACACAGGGATATAGGCTAGCCCAAATCCAATCTGTTGCCAAGTCCAGTCGATTTTATCTTTGTAACATCTCTCAAATATACCCCCTTCTCTCCTCTGACACTGCCACCATTCTAGAGCAGGCCCTCATTACCTCAGGCCTGGACTACTGCGATAGCCTGCTGGTGGGTCTGCTTGCCTCTCCCCACTCTAATCCATTCTCCATTCAGCCACTAACATGATTTTCCTAAAACACAGGTCCAATCATGTCACCCCCTACTCAATAAACTTTAGTGGCTTTCTATTGCCTCCAGGAGCAGATGCAAAAACTGTTTGGCATTCAAAGCCCTTCATAACCTAGCTGCCAGGCGAACCGCCCCCCTTTTCTCTTTGATCCAGTCACCCTGGCCTTCTGGCTGTTCCACAAACAAGACCCTCCCGTCTCTCAGCTCCAGACATTTTCTCTGTTTGTCCCCCATGCCTAGAATGCTGTCTCTCCTCATCTCTGCCTACTGATTTCTCTGGTTTCCTTTAAGTCCCAACTGAAGTCCCATCTTTTACAGGGAGCCTTTTCTGATGGCTCTTAATTCTAGTACCTTCCCTCTGTTGATTATTTTCTATTTATCCTGTGCATAGCTAGTTTGTACATGTTTGTTTGTTATCTCCTCCATTAGATCATGAGCTCCTGGAGGGCAGGGACTGTCTTCTGCCTCTCTTTGTATACCTGCCACTTAGCATAGTGCCTGACATCGTAGATACTTAATAAATGTTTATTGACCAACTGAAGCACATGCTAAACTGTAAGTGCCTTGAAGACAGGCATTTTGTCTTGCTCAGTGTCTAGCACAGTGCTCTGGACACAGTATGTAAGACTATGAACGTGCATTAGTTTTGATCTTATATTTAAAAAAAGAAAGTACTTAGCCTCCACAACCTAGTCTTCTTTTGTTTTGCAACATCAGTAATAATAACTAGCCTATCCATACAAATTTAATGTTTTGAAAGCCCTTTATGCACATTGTCTTCTTTGAGCTTCACAACCTAGATGTAGATGCACATATATTACTCCCATTTTACATATGAGGAAGCCGAGGCTCAGAGAAGGTAAGTGACTTGCCCATGGTCAGCTGGCAGTTTCAGAGGTAGGATTGGAAAACAGGTTTTCTTGACTCCAATGTCCAAGATATTATACTTTTACACCACATGGTCACTTACACAGAGGTCCTATATCACGAGGGTGGACTTGGGTGTCAGGTATCACTCACTGGCACTCCAGGAGAGGCTAAAGATCTCGGTGAGCAAGCCCTGTTGCCGTTTTTGGTGTTCTTGACCGCATTGGCCCCACCTCCAAAAAGGGCAGATAAACCTAGCAGGGCTAAACTTGGAACTGTGAGCCTTAACAGTGAAGCCCAGGGTGTCTCTGCCCTACTAGGAAGCATGAGAGGTTGGTCTTTTTAATGCTATCTGCTTATATATACAAAACACCAGGCAATCACATGCTTTGTGTTGCACATGATGAATTTGCCATGACCCATGCAGACCCTTTCAATCATTTTTCCTGTGGACTCCGAGCAAACATTTGTTGCTGCTTTTTTAAGATCTTGTCTTCATTGTGAATGTAATAAACACACAATAAAATTAGCCTTTCAATACACAAAGTTGGACATAAAAGGAGCATTGTATATGACACTGTGAATCTTTCTTTAGTACAGCTTGTTTTTCCTTTTAAGAATATAATTACTTCAACACACAACTTCCAAAGTTCCTCTGAGGAACACATTTTAAAAAATGCTTCAATGACCCTCTTTTCTTTTCTTACTCTTTTCTCTTTTTGGGCAACCCTCCCCCTAGTTTCCCTTCTCCTTGCCCCAGTTCCAAACTGAAAACTGCAAAACCATTATAACAAATGCACACAGTTAAAGCAAAACAAATATTCACATTGGCCATGTACAATAATGTTTATCTCATTCTACACCTTAGGAGTCCATTACCTTTGAGTCAGGAAGTGGTTATGGTTTCATCACAGGTACTCTGAGATCGTGGTTGGTGATTGCATTGATTCATATTCTTAAAGCTTTCAAGATTATTTTTCTTGAAAATATTGTTGCTATTGTATAAAGTGTTCTTTGCGTTCCACTTACTTCCTCTGTATCATTTCATGTAAGTCCAGGTTTCGCTGAAACTGGCCCTTTCTTATGGCAAAATAATATTCCATTACATTCATACATTATCACTTGTTTAGGTATTACTCAAGATAATCTCCTTAGTTTCCAGTTCTCTGCTATAACAACAACACCACCAGCAGCAACAAAAGCCTGCTATAAATATTTTTGTACAAGTAGGTTCTTTCCCTGAGTTCAAATCCGGCCTCAGACACTTACCAGCTGTGTGATGCTGGTCAAGTCACTTAACCCTGTTGCCTTAGTTTTCTCATCTGTAAAATGTGAGCTGGAGAAGGAAATGGCAAACCACTCCAGTATCTTTGCCAAAAAAAACCCAAACAAACAAACAAACAAAACCCTGAAAGAGGTAACAAAGAGTTGGATATGACTGAACAACAACAAATATTAGTCTTTACTATCGGGGTAGTGAGGTTTGTTCCTTCCAAAACTATTCCTATAAATGTTTAATCTGTTTATCGTGGGTTCTGAGAATGTCTATAAAGGTCTCTTTTTAAATAAAGAAATGGTAATTTATTTATTTTTTTTTTACTTTTAGGCAATTAGGGTTAAGTGACTTGTCCAGGGTCACACAGCTAGTAAATGTCAAGTATTTGGTCTGAGGCCGGATTTGAACTCCGGTCCTCCTGACTTCAGGGCCGGTGCTCTATTTCCTGAGCCACCTAGCTGCCCCAAGAAATGGTAATTTTGATGGTTCTAGTTACCTTGGGGTGACAAACCTTAGGTTTCTTTAACATGGTGTAGCTTTTGTTGGGACACCCCCTAAATCTGTTGTCATCCATTTTGTTCATTTTTCAGTCAGGTCTGACTCTTCATGCCCCCATTTGGGATTTTCTTGGCAAAGATACTGGAATGGTTCGCCATTTCCTTCTCCAGCTCATTTTACAGATGAGGAAACTGAGGCCAACAGGATTAAGTGACTTACCTAGCATCACACAGTGTCTGAGGCCAGATTTCAATTTAGGTCTTCCAGACTCCAGGCTCAGCACTCTATCCACTGAGTCACCTAGTTACCCCCATGCCAAAAGATTTTCGTTCAGATGCTTTTTAGAGCCATTATCATACATTTTTACTATGCCAAAAGTATACATTGAAACTTATTATTTATCATGATGATGCAGGAAATTGGGAAGTAGGGAAATGCTTGCTCTGCTTTTAGGTCACTGGCTGGCTTTTTACAGTGGACTACTTAGCCCCTGGAAATGGCACCATCTGCTGGGAAACCAATACTTAAAACAAAAGAAATCTGCGACAAAAAATACTCTTAACACGGAGCAATATAGAATGGATGGAAAAGTAGGTAGCAATTGAGTGAACTGATCTCTACTCAAAATTATAATATGACTTGCAAAAGAATGAGGAAAATGATCAAAGTACATATTTGGGTATTACGCAATAGGCGACGTATTTTCCATTCCTTCATCCCCTCGATCTTGCCAAGCATTCAGCATTTTTTCTAGTTCCCACGTTACACTTTTTGTGCTGTTGTGCCGGATGCTATAGCAGAATATCACTGACACAGGAGCCAGGATCCTTGCTCTTCAAGGACTTATCTTGTCTAAGGGAAGATAAACACGTCCAAGCATATCCAAAGAACCCAATTAATTAGGGTCACAAATAATTCCAAATCATTTGTCTTTGGTGTTGTAATGGGTTTTAGTTCCATTTGAGTACAGGTGGGTTAATTTTCTGAAAAGTCAGAGTACTTCTAGTAAAGGAAGACTCATTATAAAGAGTGGAACAATGCTGGATTTGGAATCAGAAGACCACAGGTCTGAATTGTCCCCTGTGAAGGTACTTCACCTCTCGGGGTTTCAGTTTACTCCTCTGTAAATTGGCAATGTTGGACTAGATGATTTCTAAGGTCTCTTCCTGTTTTGTCTGATCCTGCGATCCAGTCCAGGGGGAAAATGAGGAAAACTGCTGAGTTTTTTCATTCTGCCTGCTTGCTGGGCCTTTCCCTAATTCCTATCCTGTGTGCTCAGCATTGTTTCTCTTGATTGCCGTCTCCCTAAAGCTTGCCAGCTAAATAGCTCTCACCTTTTCGATGGCAGGGAATATTTTCAGATTGCAGCTTTAGAGACCTGTCCTGGTGGATAAGCTTGATGTTAACCAGGCCACCACAAATCACCTTCTTTTCCAGTTCCTGCTGAGCTGTGGGTTGAAGGGGAGTGAGAATAAACAGAGTGGCCGATGATGTCAACGGAGAAGCGGAAAGCAAAACAACGTTGAATTCTTTTCTGTCCTAAACCACTTGTTAAGAGCTTGAAAGTTTCACCCTCTGAAGCCACAAAGAGGCCAGTAACCCAGGGAAATGAATATGTTAGCTTAGAGCTTAACATAAAATGTTGTACTGGCTCCCTGTGAGTATTTGTTTTGGAGAAACCTCTAAAAGTAAATATAAAAGCTGTCCGTGTTGGGATGCAGGTAGCTCTAGCACTGACCTGAGAGTACAATCATCATATGGTACAGGTTGGGGCCCATAACAAAGACTAAGAAATAAAACATCATTGGGTTATCTTACTTGACAGTCAAAGTTAATCCATAAAGGTCAGGTTAAAATTTGTCAAAATTCCTGAAACTAAGACATAGCAACACTTGGGAAACAGTCAAAGAAGCATGGACTTAAATGCTACTTTTAAAAACTAAATGTTTTATTGATGTTTGTTTTTTTTAAAAAAAAATCACTTCCCGTGGCTCTTTCTCCCACCCCCACAGCCCTACCTTGTAACAAAGAAGTATAATGAATCAAAATGAATCAACACACTGGTATATGTTTGACCCCAAGTATTATACAGGTGATCCATCACCTCTCTGTTAAAGGAGGGGGGTAAAGAGCTTTTATGTTTGCAGGTTACATACAAGTCTGATTAATATTTGGCAGGAATAAAGCTAATTATAATGTGAAGATTGCATGGGTAGGAGGGGGAGAAGAATAGGAGAGGTAGCATCCTGAAAGAGTGAGTTGGGTTTCTAAGCTATAATGATTCTAAATAGTAAGGTTAATCAGTAGGCACTAACTAGGTCACCCCCAAACTGATATTTGACCAGGTTCCTAATCAGTGCTCCATGAATTTACGTTGGGCAGCAGAGAGAGGACTGAAAATTCACTTCAGGAAATGCCTTTCCTTCCAGGGACAACATCATTCTGGATTATCATCAAGTGCTCTTCACGTCTTATATTCCACCAACAGCCAAAATAAATGTACCAAGAAACTAACAATGTTTGCTATTCAGTCATTTCCGTCACATCTGACCCTTCGTAACCCCATTTGGGTTTCTTTTTTTTTTTTGGCCAAGATATTGGAGTGGTTTGCCAGTTCCTTTTCCAGTTCATTTGACAGATGAGGAAACAGAGACAAACAGGGGTAAGTGACTTTCCCGGGGTCACACAGTTAGGAAGTGTCTGAGGCTGGATTTGAATTCAGGTCTTCCTGATTCCAGGCCAGGTACGCTATCCACTGCACCACCTAGCTATCCTTAACAATGTTTATGAATATTCACATCAGAAATTTAGATATGTTCATGCCTCCCTCCAGATTTCTAAAAACAAAACAAAAATATTTGACAAGAGCATAATACAAAACACTGGCAGAAGGCCATTGAAAGAGATTATATTAAATCTCCCTGATAACTGCCGAGGCTTAATAAAATCCCATAAACAGATTCCACAAGAAGTCAAAATGGGACATAGTGATAAAAGGGAGAGTGGAAGATTTCAAAAGGAGAAAACCCATCAGGTTAGGTTCCTAACTGCAGCTTAGAAATACCCAGACAGCTCTGCATCTAAGAAAGTAAAGGGTTAGGTGGATGCTAAAGTAGGCAATTGAATAGGTATACGTATTTGTTTAGAATCCTAGAATATAAACTTATTCCACAATTTATATCATTTAATTTTTACTACACTATGTTGGAGTAGCATAATATCATAGAACTGGAGAAAGAAGGGACAAATCCAAATCTCTCCCACCCCACACCCATTTTATGGAGGAGGAAACTGAGGCCCTAGGAAGTTAATTGACTAGCTCAAGGATAGAGGCAGGATTTGAACTCAGGAAATCTGATTCTGGAGCTACTGTGCTTCCCACTGTACCATATTCAGTCATTATAACCTGACATTTTAAATGCTAAGAGTGTGAAGTGATGCTAGAGTCAGCTCTAATTAGCTGGTGAGACCTGATTGTTAGATTTTCAGTGTGAGCATTTACACTTTGGAAAATCAGCAAATGCTGCAAATCGTGGCTTGATTTATTATTTTATTGATTTTCTGGACAAGAAAATGATGGAGAAAATATTGATAATTCAGATTAAATTGAAAAGTGTGTTATGGGCAGAGTAGAGGCAGCAACTCAGCTAGATCTCTCAACATTCCCCTCCAAACAACTTTAAAATGATGTGTCTAATTGAATTCTAGAGTGCTGTAGCTAACAAAAGCTCAGGGTGAGACATTTTTCTAGCCCAAGACAATTTAGGAAGTTAACAGGAGAGGTCTGTGATACTGGGGCGGGGGCCAGCTCAAAGCACACACAGGGGCAACACCAGCAGTGGGCGTTTGAGGCAGCAACAGGGCCAGAAGGAGCTTTGGGAACTCAGCCTAGAGATGTTCCATGGCAAGTAGTGCTTGCAGCTGCAGGGGAACAGGGGACCTGGTCACTGTGCAAGGGCCCTGAGGTGTACTAGTTTAGGTGGCTGCAGGGGAGCAGAGGCCTTTCCTAGGCAAAAACCAGAGTGCAGACCAGGAGAGCAATGGCCACACCTCCCAAAATTATGCCACCTTGGAGGCACCAAAAGCTTGCAGACCACCCCTTTCTCCCCTAGAGCTAGCTCTGAAAACAGCAGTGCAAAAGAGGACTGAAGCTTGGGACAGTGCCTTCCCTTCCCTAGGTGAGCAGAGCCCAACTTTAACATAAAGTTCGAAGTTAAGAAATAGACTGGGAAAATGAGCGAACAAGAAAAGGAACCTGACCATAAAAAGCTACTATGGTGAAGATCAAGACACAAACTCAGAAGAAGACAACAATGTGAAAACAACTACAAGCAAAGCTTCAAAGAAAAGAAAAATGCGAATTGGACACAAGCCCAATAAGAATTTCTGGAAGCACTAAAGAAAGAGATGAGAGTGGTAGAGGAAAAATTGACGAGAGAAGTGAGAATGATGTAAAAAAATTATTAAAAAAGAATTAACAGTTTGAGGTTAACAACACACACACACACACACACACACACACACACAAACACTGAAGAAAGTAACACTTTAAAAAACAAAATTGGCCAAATGGCAAAAGAGGTAACAAAACCTCACTGAAGAAAAAGATTCAAAAAACAGAATCAGCCAAATGGAAAAAAAAAGTTACAAAGGTCACTGAAGAAAATAATTCCTTAAAAATTAGAATTGAACAAGTGGAAGCTAATGATTTCATGAGACAACAAGAAACAATAAAATAAAGTCAAAAGAATGAAATATAGAAGAAAATGTGAAATATCTCATCAGAAAACAACTGACCTAGAAAGCAGATTAAGGAGAGATAACTTAGGAATTATTTAACTAAATGAAAGCCATGATCAAAAAAAGCCTAGCCAACATATTTCAAGAAATTATAAAGGCAAACTGCTCTGATATCTTAGATCTTAGAGGATAAAATAGAAATTGAAAGAATCTACCAATCACCTTCTGAAAGAGAACCTCAAATGAAAACTCCCAGGAATACTATAGCCAAATTCCAGAGCTCCCAAGGAAAGGAGAAAATATTGCAAGCAGCCAGAAAAAAACCATTCAAATGTTGTGGAGTCACAGGATCACACAAGATTTAGCAGATTCCATGTACTCCATATACTTCATGTACTTCCATGTGCTCCAAAGGAGTACAGGGTATGGAATATAATATTCCAGAAGACAAAAGACCTAGGATTACAACCAAGAATAATTTATCCAGCAAAACTGAGTTTTTCTTCAGGGAAAAAGTGGATATTTAATGAACTGGAAGACTTTCAATCATTCCTGATAAAAAGACCAGAGATGAATAGAAAATTTGACATTCAAACATAAGACTTAAGAGAAGCATAGAAAGGTAAACATGAAGGAGAAATCACAAGGAACTTAATAAGGTTAAACTGTTTATATTCCTATATGGGAAGATGTTACGTCATTATTAGGGCAATCAGAAAGAGTCTGCATAGACAGATGGCTCAACTGTAAGTTTATTATATTGAGATAATCTTTTATGTATTGGAAGAAGGGGGAAGGAAGAGGAAGAATGGAGAAAATTATCTCACATAAAAGAGGCACACAAGGAAGACCTATTACAGTAGAAAGGAAAATAGAGGGTGGTGGCAGCAGACAACGCTTGAACCTCGCTCTCATTGGAATTGGCTCAAAGAGGGAAACACACACACACACACACACACACACACACACACACACACTCAGTTTGGTATAGAAATATATACTTACCCAAAAGGGAAGTAGAAGGGGAAGGAATAAAGAAAAGAGAGGGAGTAATAAAAGAGAAGACAGATTAATGGAGGTAAGGATCAGAAGCAAAACAGACTTTTGAGTAGGGACGGGGTAAAAAGAGAGAGAGAAAGAGAGAGAGAGATGGATAAACAGAAGAAAATGTGATGGAGGGAAATATGCAGTAATCATACCTGTGAATGAGAGTGGAATGAAATCACCCATAAAATGGAAGCAGGTAGTAGAATAGATTAGAAACCAGAATCCAACAATATATTGTTTACAATGAACACGCTTGAAATAGAAAGACACACAGGGTTAAAATAAGGGTCTGGAGCAGAATCTATTATACTTCAACTGAGATAACAGTAATAGCAAACATATCCAATTTTAGCAGCAGTCATGTTTCTCTATATATAGATATTTTCTATATAGTGCAAAAATAAAAGCCTCTTATTTCAAATAAAAAAAGTGTGTCATGCATACATTTCTCCCCCTTTGGAGAACTAGTTGTTAAACATTTACCAGCATGTCCCTGAAAAGCTAGCCCTCACTCATTGGGTGAAATTGGCAGATTGCTTCCCATTCCTCAGTCTCAGTTTTCTTCTCTGTAAAATAAAAAGTTGGACGAGGGTCCTTAAGACCCTTTCGTTCTTGAACATTCTATGACTGAATTAAAACTTACTCTCATCCCTTTGCATGAAAGATTATTAATTAACCAGAAAAGACAGCATTTCTAGATCTTATCAGAGGTGAGGAACCTTTGGCCTTGAGGCCGCATGTGGCCTTCTAGGGCCTTGAGTAGAGCCTTTTTGACTGAGTCCAACTTTTATGGAACAGATCCTTTTATTAAGGGGATTTGTTCTGTGAAGTTTGGATTCAGTGAAAGGGCTGCACTTGAGGACCTAAAGGGTCACATGTGGCCTTGAGGCCGCAGGTTTCCTACCCTTGGATTAGTCAACAGAAATAAGGCTATGACTCCCTGAAGTGAATGTACTCATTAGCAGTAGGGTTTTTAACACCAATCTAGTGGGGTTTAAGGAGATCAGAGAAGTGGGGTTGGTAATAGTGTGGATGAAGAGCTTTTTCATTTGCAGGTTGCAAGTTTGATGAATGTTGACAATTGAAAGTCAAGTTAAGAAATCCATTCTTGTGGTCAGTTAATAGGTAGTAATAATAGGATGAGACGAGGACTGGATCTTAGATTTCATTGGTGTGGAGTAGTTCCAGAAGAGCAAACTCCCTAGACCAATGCAGTTCAGAAATATTTAGTCTTAGAGAGCTGTTAGAGGCACTGAGAAGGTAAGTGACTTATCTAAGGTCACACAATGAGGATATGTCAGAGATAGGCTCTGAGTCTTTCAAGTTTTGGGCTAGCTCTCTATTCCACTATGCTTATCATTGAAACAGCATCAACAAAAACACAGAAGAGAACTTCAGAAGGGGATACAGACAAGAAAGACAATTTTATTACCATCATCTTGAATTTAATATACTTTTAAAAATTCATTTTTATTTTGTTTTTGGTTCCAGATTCTCTCCCTCCCCCACCACTCCCCTGCCTATTAAAAAGGCAAGAAATACAAAACTCATTATAAATATGAAGTCATGCAAAACAAATTTCTGCATTAGCCATGTTTTTGAAAAAAGAAAAAGAAAGAGAAAAAATATGTTTCAATCTGTACTCTGAATCTATCAGTTCTTTCTCTCTGGAGATGGATAATGTGTTTAATTATGAGT